CTTCTCTCTCTCTCTCTCCCTCTCCCTCTCTCCCTCTCTCTCTCTCCCTCCCCCCCTCTCTCTCTCTTTCTCTCTCTCTCTCTCTCATTAAATAATTACTTTGTCATGTTAAATTGATTAAAATTAATCAATTTGTATGCGAATTGAGATGGACTATGTTAAATATATTCATTTTTTACTAACTTTTCAATTAAGTAATGCAAACATGTGATCATAAGAGTTAATTCATATTATGTAAAAAATTAAAAAATAATAAACCTCCCAGGTCACAGTATAAGTAAGTACAGTAGTTTCACTCTCCAAAATTTATGGGTAAAAGTATGTCTTAACGCATGCGCGAATCTCACAATTTTCATCATGGCGTCGATGTCACGTGTGGATACTGTGTCAATGGCTACTTTTACACCGTGCATTTAAGCCGCGACCTAAACAATAGATGTCCTTGTTTATTCTGTAAGTTAAACAAAGACACCTATCGTATAGGTCGCGGACTTTTTATATATAGACATTTTTTTGTAATATTTTACAAATAATAAAAAAAAACATTTAGGTAGATATAATCATGGTATAAACACAAGGGTACGCTCATCCGGTGGACGAATTTAGAAAGCCTTTGCGCATGACTCAGTTTACGTCACATTCGGCTACTTTGGGATGCTTTCGGAAGCTTTCGGACTCTGAGTGCCAATGAAGTATGGACTGCCGTATTTATGATATTCGTTAAAGCGGTAAAGTAAGCAAGAGTTTTTATTAAAAATAATGGCTGTTTGTACAGTAAAAGTCTGCAATAATTATTATCGAAAAAGGGTAAGAATGAAAGGAGAAGAAATAAAATATTTCAGGTTTCCTAAAGACCCTGAAATTGCTGCAAAATGGATCGAAGTGTGCGAGGAAAATGTAAATTTAACGCATGGTAAGGTTGAAATATTGCATATTAACGCATAAACAAATTGATAGTGTAAATGTAAATAACTAATCTGGTTAGGTTAACTTTTTACAATCAAACAAAAATATCACGAAACTCTTGGTGAAAATTTGTCAGAATTTTTACATGAATTAAAACGCTTTCAGAAGTATTGAGAAAGAATACACTTTTTCTTATA